TCAAAACTAGCCTTGGGTTTGGGGGTGGTGCATCCAACCCCGCCCCCACTTCCCCTCTGGACAAAATGAAGATGCCTATTCAGGAGGTCCGGAATGGGATGGGGTTTGCATTGCTAGCCTGCTCTCTAGAGATGCTAATGCTGCTGGTCCATGGACCACCCCTGAGGAAGTGACGTGTCACAGTGAATCTGTCCTCCTCATCATCTCCTGGATTCTCCCAGCCTCAGTATAATCCGCTTTTTTCTAATCCTGGTCTGTTAGTCCTAAAGCATGCATTCTCAACGGGGACAACAGCGCCCCCAAGGGGGCAAAAATTTGTTCTTGGGCGGGGTGAAAAAAAATCTTACTTTTGGTATATGAGGCACGGAGACACCTGCAGTACATAAACAGATATACATTATACCTGTGGTATTAAAATCCATGCAGGGGTGCAATCAGGAAAAAAAAGTGTCTAAGAAGGCTCCTTGGAGAGGTTCACAGTGAAAAGAACGTCTAGAAACATCGGCCTAAGGAAAATTCCTTCTGCCTACTCCAGGGCCAACCTTCACTGATGCTTGCCAGATTCCAAAAGTAAATGATGTCTATGTCAATGTGTCCCTTGCTAGCTGCCTGCCACTGAAGCCACCCAACTGTCTGGCCCACATGCCCTTCTTCTGCAGGTTCTGTACCCTCCCTTTTCCCAAAAGGCACAGCACCCATGTGCTGGCCTGTGACTTTATTGGTTAACCCTTGTCCCACATGAAGCTGATACATTAGAGCCCACCTTCCAGGCCCTCAACCCTAAGAAGCACTACATTTAACATTTTAGTCACTTGGTATCAATAAGGAAGGGGTCACAAATATAACCCTGAGCGCTAACGGTATTATTCACTGTATGAAGTGCACTCACACATGCCGTAAGCATTAGCATTCTGATTCGTCAGTAAGGAAATGAGGCCCCAGGGGAGTAAAGAGATTTGCTCCTCACTCAAGTCACATACACAGCAGAGCTGGGTTCCCAGACTCTCTGTCTGGTGCTCACTCCACTGTCCCATCTTCTGTCCTACCCCTGAGGACGGTACTGCCTATTTGCGGGGAGCTTATAAACCGGTGGGAGTGAGTGGGCAGGGCGGACAGAGATGCCCACAGGCAAGGCTGGGCTCGTGGGGTCTGCAATGGAGGCTCTGAAGTCAGCCTCCCCACGAGGCCAGCAGAACTTGGAAGAGGCATGGGCCCATGGTGGCCACTGTTCCTCACCAGCAGGGCAAAGCGGCCCAGAGGAGTGAAGTGGGTGGGCTTTGAATTCAGACAGACATGAGAGTCGAGTGACCGCTCTGTCCCATATTAGTGACCTGGTAGGTCCCTACTTCTCTGAACCCCAGTGTTCTCATCTGGAAGGTAGAGGTAGCAATAGTGACAAATTCATGGAATTGGGAGAATTCAATGAGATAATAATGTGAAGCACTTAGCATTGTGCCTGGCACATAATAAGCAACCAAGAAATTATTTCAAGAGCTGGGCCTGACAGCCTCAGAAATTTCTCAGAATATCCATTCTGCTTGTTCAGTACCCCACCCCTGAAATCTTTCAAATCCCCAGTAACCTCTAAGAATTTAAGAGAAAACAAATCTGCCTTCTGTGGACTTCTATGGGCTTTTGCTCTTCCTAAAATCCTCACCTCCTCCAAGGAGCCCTCCTGATTGCCCTCACTCTGAGCAGGCTGGATATGGCTACTCTCCCTGGTCCCCATCTTCATATCTGACCGCTTGCTCCCTGAAAATACCTTTTCTTAGGCATGCCCATTATGGTGGGAGCTCCTTCTCCACTCCTATTCCAGTTGGTTCATTAGTCAGACCCTACTAAATACATACTGGGCCTGAGCCTCTCTCCCCAGCTGGGTGTGCCTCTCAGCTCTACAGAGGGGACCCAGGTCCAGTCATAGGCCCCACACAGACCCCAGCAGGAGCTGTGCCCCTTTAGTGGGTCTGGACCCGACACCATCCTGGTAAGGCCACTCTTGGGACAGCAAGAGGCAGAGGCAGAGAAGAGAAGGCAGGGGCCAGGTTCAGGGAGAAATTTCACACTCAAGCCTCAGATAGGGAAGGGTGACAGATGACACTTGAAAACCACAGAGCCTGGGCTTCCTGAGCAAATGGGCATGGCTGTAAAAATCTGAAGCAAACAAGAAAGAGAGGGAAGCAGGTGCCATAGCCTTGGAGGTGAAATTTGTTCTCTGAATATCAATTCCCAAAGTTTTCTGGAGGGCTTCCTGGAGTCTTCCAACGATCAATTTACAGGTGATGGCATCAAACCCTCCTGACAGCTAGGTGGGTGGGGAAAGCTAGGGGTATCACCCTCCTGTCTCTGAGGGGCCCTTCCCCCTCCAATCAAACACTCCCCAGATCTGAACAGGGGGTTTGGGGAGCACCAGGACAAACATAAAGTTATAACACATCTGTGAGTCACGTGTTATTATTTTCTTTCACCAAAGGAGAACATAGAAGCTCCAGAGGTTAACCAACAAAGATGTGGCAGAGCCAGAATTTGAATCCAAACCCTCCAAGTGTAGGTCCCATTCCATGATATGCTGACTCTATCCCTTCAAATAAGTTGGACCCTAAAACACCAATGGTGTCCCAAGAAAAATCACAACACACCCAAATTGTTGCTTTTGTTGGTGGGGGGGTCCGATTCCACTTGGCTATCCCTGGTGGGTATTTTGCGGTCATCTCTGCTTTCAGTCTGGCGGCCTCCCCCATCAGAATGGGAAGGCACCAGATGCCAATAACGGTGTTCATCTCCACCCTGGCCAGGGGACTTTCTGAAAGGAGGAGAGGCCCTCCTCCACCCTGCTGGCTGGAGAGACTTGACAAGCCTGACACTCGGGGGCCAAATACTCTGGATCCTCGGTTCCACCTCAGAGGTGCAGCTGAGACAAGAAAGCGGATTCCCACTCTAGCCAAACCAGAGCTTGGGTGGCCAAAAGGCTGCCAAGTTTCCCCAGTGGCACCACCTACCTCATCTGCATTTCCCACCCCATCCGTCCCCTCCTCAGTCTAGCCTCCGGAAGCTCCCTGCTCACCCGCTCTGAGACCACACTCCCCAGCTTCTCAGATGGCTGGGCCTGGGCAAGGAAGTGGCACCGCAGAGAAGCAGCGAGCCTGAGCCCCAGCAGCCGCCGGTGGGCACCCCATCCAGCCGGCCAGGAGCTGCAGCTGGGAGTCGACCTCCTGGAGAAGCCGCGCCAGAGGCTGAGACCGAAATGCCACGTTGGCTGTTTGTATTCCCCTGGGCGAGGGCAGGAAGTTAAGTAACGATATTCCTGAGCAGGAATTAGACCAGAAACTCTAAATTGAGGGCTGGACAGGGGGCCTGAGCAGACGCATGTGAGGAGCTGGAGGAGAGAGATGGACGGAACTCTGCATCCCAGCCAGAGTCAGAAGGGAAAGATGACATCCCAGCATCAGCAGAAGGGCCCAGGCAGCTGGTGGGGTCCACGGAGGCTGACAGCTCCAAGACCAGGCCCTCAGGAGCTTCCTCCCGAGTCCTCCCTGCGCGACCCTGATCCCCTTCAGCCTCCAAAGTACCCCACACCAAGTCCCAAGCTGGGCTCCCCTGTGTGTGGCTGTATGAAGCCAAGGGTGGCAGCCAGCCCAGGACACAACCCCAGGACCCGGGATCCACACTCCCTGTCTCCCCACAGTCCCCTACCTCGGCCTCCCCACCATTAGTTCCAAATTGCCCCGCCCGTGCACCCCCCCCCGCCCCCGCCCCACCACACGGACAAAAGCCCACCCAGAACCTCCCTCCCTGGTCCCTGCAACTTTAGAGCTCAGAGCCTGGCAGTTTCCTCCCCAGCCTTGCTCCTCCCCTGCCATGGGGGTCAGTTTCCTGAAGCAGCCAGTGCCCTCCCCCAGTCCCACAAGGCCAATCAGCCCATTGCAGCCACAGTGCCCACCCCCCCACCACCACACACACACACCACCGTGGCAAGGCAGGGGGTCAGCATCTACAGCCATGCCTCGGACTCCAGCTCCCTCTTCCCACCAAGTGTCTGTCTGTCTGTGGTGTCTGTGATTCTCGGCGTGCACTTGGTGTCGGCCTGGCTCAGTCCCTCTGCAGTCTCTGCTCAGGCTCACTCCTCATTCTTTCTCAGGCTCTGGCTTTCAGGGGCTCAGTCTCCCTGGGACTTGCTGCCTATGTTCTTTGTACTGGGGTGATGGGAAGGGGAGCAGGACACCTCCCTGTCGTTGCCTCAGGGTCTGTAGGGAGCACAGCACGCCGGCCTCAGAGCAGTCCATCCCTCTCCCTCCTCCCTGCTCAGGCCAACCTTAGAACCAGAACAGGGCTAGGTGAGAGATAGACCTACCAACCAGGCATGGCTAATGCCAGTTTCCATACTGCTTCATCATGCCATTCTGATGCCCCAAGCTGCACACACACAATCCCCCTGATCTCCCTGCCTTCTGCCTGAGGCCAGGACAGGGCCCTGAGCCTGCCCTACCTGCCTCCCCAAACTGCAGTGATGCCTGCCTTCCCTCCATCAGCGCTGAATCAGGCCCTCTGCACCCAGCTCTACCCCACCCCACCCAGCCCACGGAGCGCAGGGAGCCCTGGTGTCCGACCCAGCCCCCAGCAATAGCTCCAGCCAGGCCTTGCATGTGGGGAGATGCAACAAGAGTGGTCTGGAGGCAAAGTTCTCCTGCTGCTTTCAACGTTGCCATACAACTGAGGCTCCCGTCTCTCCCTCCTGCTCGCTGGCCTCACTCGGACCCACTCTCCTCGGTGCTCGCCAGAGTTTCACCCCCACTCCCGGGGAAAAAAGAAAGGAAAGGAAACCTCCCGCGATAAGGATGGGCGAAAAGAGAAGGTGTCCGCACGAGTGCCCGGGTGACGAGTGCTCAAGTGAAAAAGAAAGGGATGCAAAGTTCCCGGTCCCCCGCGCCCCCCGCGCGTTCAGCCCTGCGCCGAGCTCCCGCAAACACCCCGATCGCGGAGACGCGGCGGCGGCGACCACTCACCTGGGCGAGGCAGCATCTATCCCCGGCTGGGAGGCTCCGAGGCCGGCTCCGCGGGGCGCCCGGGCTCCCCGGCTCGGCCACGCATCCTTCCCCGCCCGAGACAGGCTCGAGCTAAGCCCTCCGGCTCCGGCGAACGCAGGCAGATGGTGGCCTCGGACGTCCACGCGGGGAGAGCCCTGAGCGGCTTATTCTGTTATATCCATGGCATTTAGCGAAAAGAAGGGAGGAAAAAGCACAACTTGTTCTCTTCTCTTCCAGATTAAAAAACAAAAAACAAAACAAAAAAAGATAATTCCCCCCCGCCGCCTAGGAAGACGCCGGTAGGATTCTCCAGCTCGAAGAACCCTGGGCATTCCCAGGGACTTCCGGCATCTTGGAATGTGGGGTGTCTTCAAGTTCAGAGGAGCCAGCCGGGTTGTGCGTGTGTGAGTGTGTGTGTGTCTCAGCGAGAGCGAGCCAGGCACTCACACCCACACGCACACACACAAACACACTCCCCCGCACTCCCCGCGTGCACACCGCCCCCCACGCGCGCGCGCGCTCGCGCGCGCACCCGGACACACACACGCACAGCGATCACACGCACAGATCCGGGAGGGAGCTGGGCTGGCTGCGGAGGCAGCGCGGGGCCGGCGGCGGAGAAAAGCCCAGCGGCCGGAGGCGCCCGGGAACGCCGGGCCGTGCGCACCGTCCCCGCCGAGCTCGCCGGCGCGGCAGCCCCCAGTGGCGGCCGGCGGAGCTGCAGGAGCCGGGCCCGCCGCCCGGCGCACCTCCTTCAGTGCCGACCCACACCGCCGCCGACACCGGAGGGATTCGCGGTCCCCGCGGGGGTGGCGCGGCGACGGCCAGCGCCGAACAGCGGGCCTCGCACGGAAGGCCGGCAGGGCGGCGGGCGGGCCGCGAGCCCCGGAAGCCGGGAGGGCGGGCTCGGCGACCCAGCGGCGCGGGCAGCCCCTGCGCAAGGCGAGCCGGGCGGCCGGGGCTGCGCCGCCGCAGCCGGCGCGGGTGCTGCCGCCTCACGTGCGGAGCGCGCCGTGCAGCCTTCAGCCCGCCGCCTGCAGGACGAAAACCCGCCGCGCCGGCCCCGGGCTGGGGTTGGGGGCTGGGAGGGTCGCGCCCACGCAGCCCCGGGCCCCGCTCCGAGGCCCGCGTCCTGGCGAGGGACAGGTGAAAAATGAGCGCCCGGAATACGCACCCACAGACTTAGACCTTCCGTGAGTATCACGGGGATCCGTGAGGTGTGCAGTGGCGCCGGCAGTTCGCACAGCACCTTTGCAACTCTTTCCTGGTCTGAGCCTCCCAACAACGCTCATCTGCCATAGGAGGGAACTGAGGGCCAGACGAGTAGAGCGACTTGTCCACGGCACGTGGCAGGTAGTCCCTACTCCAAGCCGACTGTGGGCTTAGCATCAGAAGGTCTGGGCCTGGCCAGGGTGTTATCTTCCTTTGGTTGTCCTCTTTGCCCACTAGGATCAGCAACCAGTTCCTGGGAAGGCTGGACTGGGCTCTCCTTTACTGGGTTTCCCAAGAGGAACTGAAGGAAATGACAATTTGAGACTCCTGCCGGTACTCTGGCTGGTAAATCCAGGGGCAGGGAAAATGTCTCAGTCCATCTCTTCTCTCCTAGTGGCTAGCACCTCCCGAGCACCTGTCCCAGATACCCACGGGGAGGCACATGTGGCCTGCGGATGTGTCTCTGCAGCCCAGGATTGACTCAGCTGGATAAATCTGTAATATAAGACCCTGCCTCCTACCTGTCTATGCACACAGGTGGGTGCATACTGGCAGAAGCCCAGGCACCTAGGCCCTATGTTCTGGGCACCCTCTCCATGGGCATCCAGGGAAAACTGCCAGGTCAGCCTACTGCAGACCCTGAAAAACAGGCCCTTCCCCGCAGGGATTCTGGAAAGCTTGGGGGGAGGGAGGGTGCATGACCAGGATGAAAGTCAAGGTTTATCAGAGTGTGCTGGCTTTAAAAAAGAGAGTCAGAATCAGGGGGTGGAGATAGAGGAGGAGAGAAGAAATGAGAAGAAGAGGAAGGAGGAAGGAGGAGGTACTTAGAAGGAGGTAGGGGATAGAAAGGAGAAAGTGAGGGGAGGAGGATGGGGAAGGGAGAAAGGAGGGGGAGATCAGCCTGGCCAGTGTTTGTTTCCTTGCTTACCTGTGGTTTTGCATACCATAGGTGGGGGTTTCCTGGGAGGGGGGTTAGGAGTGGAAGGAGGAACTGTACCCCAGGCTCAAGTCTCTGAATTCCCCCAAGAGAAGGGGGCAGAAGGCTAGGTTATCTCCTTACCCTAGAGTCACCCATGAGAGAACCAAAAATCTAGTGGCAGGGATAGGACCAGGCTGGCACCAGAACAAGATGGAGCTGCTCTGGGAAACCAAAAAAGCATTAGGATGGTGTGGAGGAGGGGCCAGGGGCCCCCAGGGATGCCGACGGATGCCCCAGTCCCTGCTCCAAAGGGAACCCAATGCCTCATCAAAAAGTTTTCCCAACTCAGAGAAGGAAATGGATATTCTAGGAAAAGCCAGGACCTGGATCATTTATTTTCTTTTTTTTTAATGCATATTCATGAGATTTATTTAAATGAATGGTTCATTTCTAGCACTTTGGGTAATTCTGAGGACAACTGGTTTATTTTTCGAATTATGTCTGCCTCACCTAGCCACTGAGCACAGGGCTAGGAGTCAGGTGGCCTGGATGCTCACGATGGCTTTGTACTAACAAGCAATGTGACAATCCCATCCCCTCAGAGGGGTTGGACTGTGTGCTTTCTAAGGGCCCGCCCAGCTCTAGGAACCCCCAAGTGACCTCAGCAGTTGGAGCAGGGTGGGGACCCAGATGTACCTTGGGAGGCCAAGAGAAAGCCAATCTACCGTCACCATTCACAGTGGAAAACCCCCAGAAGATAATCTGCACTTCAGTAATGGAAAGCTGAATGATGGTGGATTTTTTGATTGTTTGAACAAACCCAGCAGGGCTGAGGAGGGGTACTGCTCTGCTAACTACCGGCTATTTTTACTGACTGCTGACCACAGAGGAGAGCTGGGGCTTCCCAAAGGGGTGCATATGGCCGGGGTAGGGGTGAAAGAACAAGGAGGAGAGAAAGCTGCTACACAAGCCGTTCTAATGATGGGCATTTGGATTCTTCTACATCTCACATTTTCACCCTTCAAAATAACCCTGTAATGGACATCTTTGTGCCTAACTCTCCACCCACGTTCTTGTTGTGTCTCTGCTTGCACTAGATTCCTGGAAGCAGAATTACTGGGCCAAAGGACATCAGGCTCTTGTTCCATAATCCTTTGTTCCAGTTTGAGAGTCTAGGCACTGAAGGGCAGGGCAGACAAATGATTTCCCAGAGAGCTCCCAGCAGGTGCTTAAGGATGTCTTCACATACCCTTTCTCTATGTCTCTATGTGACAGAGGGTGATTGTGCCTTGGGCCTCACGCTGTATATCAGGGCCATGCTGCACCCTTGGATATATCTCTAATACTCCAACCTGAATTTAGCCCAAGGTCCCCCTGCCCCTGGCCATGACTCATCTTCCCCTGCTCTCCTGGGCACTTGTGACCAGCCTCACCCTATTGTCTGCATCACTTGGCTTTCTGGCTGGACTCTAGGCACCGACCCCCCACCCCCAGCACCCTTCTGGGCACACGGCTGGCTCCCAATACCCACTTGCTGGGTAAGATCACAGCTCCCTATCAGAAGAGGTCTCAGGAGGGTCTGGAGTGGGGAGACCTCCAGCATGAGGAAGAGAAAGCCGAGTTGGCCTGGGCCTTCCTAACCAATAGAAGGACCCCTATGTAAAGAACCATGGGGAGCCTCTCTTTTCTCTATCCACTAAGTGTGAAAAAGAGAAGAAACTGATGTAAGTAGCAGTGAGAGATTCAGACTAGATGGTAGGACAGAGCCAGGTGCCTGAGCCTATGGAGTCACAGAGTGGGGACTGTGGAGTTTGCTCTATAAAAGTGGTGCAGTCTGTAATCCCAAGAATGCACTAGATGCTTCTCAGAGTCTCCCGTGGCATGTCGTGGCCTAAAGAGTGACTTTGTGGCCCAGGGGAGTAAGACAGATACTGGGGCACAGACTGATAAAGCCATGGGATCTCCCTCCACTGAGTCTACCATAGGGGCTGGAAGCGGGGAGCCACTCCTAAATTCTTAGCACCCCATTCACTCTGCTTCCCCCAGGACCAACAGCCAGCCTGACCCCAGCTTATCCCACAGGCCTTGTGGAACTCGGGCAAATGCATCCTCAGAAGCTGAAGCCCAACCCCAACCCAGGAGTGTACTTTCTGGAGATGAAGGGCCAGTGTCTTTTAATCCTGCAGTACCCTCTACCCCTCCACCCTTCCCAAGTGCTGGAGTAAGAAGCAGCCCAAATAAATCCCTATTAGTATGCATATGTATTCCCAAATTCCTTAACAGCATGACTAACACCACCTACAGCCATTAGCTAGAGTATGTTTTCTAAAGCCAGTTTACTTTTCATCAGCAAGCCCTCTGTTTACTCTTCCCCTTCCCCAGGCCCCACGAGCTCCCTTCACAGCCTCACCCTCTTGCCCCAACACCAGATCTGGGGCTGGGGTGCCTGATGCATCAACAGGTCAGAGGATCCTGGGAGATCATATTCAATCAACAGAGACAGAAACATCTCTCTAAGTATCTCTATGCACCACCCAGCCCTCCGCTAAATACTGTATGTAGGGAGAAGGGAGGGAAGGAGAAGGCAGTCTCTTCCCAGAGAGAAAGGACACAAACCAACTCTGGCACGGTGCCTTGCAGTCTATAAAGAGCATTCCCAAATGCTACCTCACTTGCTCCTCACAACAATCGCACGAAATAGATCATCATCCCCATTTTACCAACAAAGACACTCTAAGTCCTATACAGATAACATGATGGCTCAAAGAGTTTGAAGCTCTGACTGGATGGCCCTGGATTTCAGACCAAATCATCTGCCTCCACATCCCAGGCCCCTTCCTCTGTACAGAGCAGCCGTTCTGACACTGGCCTGGATACCACTCCGTGGCAAATTATCTTGTACAGCCCAAGGTGTAGTAGGCATCCAGCGAAGGGAAGGCCAAGGCAACCAGGACCAGCTCGGTGCAGATTCTGCAGCCAAGGAGAACCACCCTGGCAAATACAGAGTTAAGAGACCCTCAGCTTGTGGGATAGTGTGGGAGAAAGAGCAACAGAGGGGAAGAGAGTGGATCTGGATTCTGGTTCTTTAGTGTGACCTTGCCCAGCTCTTCCTTTCTCTGGGTCTCAGCTTCATCTCTAAAATCGGAGAGTCGGGGCTAAATGATCTCCAGGATCAGATGAAGAGCAGGAAATTGAATAGTCACTCGGAGTGGGACTTGAGGTGCCTTGACTCAATGGACAGTGGACAATGGACTGATGCCACTCACTTTCCTGCCTTTTGCCTCCTGCCAGGGAACCCCCAAACCCTAAGGGTGTATTGAAGCAGAAACTCTGTGGGCTGTGGCAAGTGCCCAAGGGAACCTGGGAAGGATCAGGGCTCTTCTCCATCCAGGCACTTGCCCCAGCCCTCCTCAGACCACCTTGCACCCCCAACCCCATCTCCTCTCTTGCCATCAGGCATATGACAGCAGACTTGCTAGGCAACACTATGTGCCAGGCAATCCTCTTTGCCCTGGACAGTGGTTATTTTATTTAATTCTCACAAAAACCCTATGAGGCAGGTACTGTTATTATCCCCATTGTATAGATACGGAAACCATGGCACAGAGAGGCTGAGTAATTTGCTAGGTCAGAGAGTTGGTGGGTGGCAGAGCCATCATCCTAACCCTGACGCTCGAACTCCAGAGCTTATGCTAGAAGTGGCTGGTAGTAAAATAAAAACTTGTTTCAGGGGCGCCTGGGTGGCTCAGTTGGTTGAGCGACTGCC